AGTCGGGCCCGTTTGCCGTCGACGCACCCGACCGGCGGCCCGGAGGACAGCAATCACTACAACATAAGGGCCGCCACACGGAAAGTGAATTACTGGAACATCAGTGAAAACACGACTAAATTTTAAATTAATTTGTTTTTTATATTCAATTCAATCTCAAAACCAAAACACACTTTTCATTACTATTTCAAACAAACAAATCCTTTTCATCTCTTTATTTCATAATTAAAAAAATAATTAATTAATTAAAAAACTTTACAAAACATAATCTAAAAATAAGTGAAAGAAATATTGGGTTATAATAATTGGCGTAAAAACTCTATTGACTTTTTATACGTTGGGATCCCCTCATGATCTGAAAGACTGTGGCCGAGATCTTCTCGTAGCACAAGTACATGAGCGCAGTGGTCAGTACGGTCTGCAGTAGTTTCGATTCCAGCCCTTTGTATAAGCCTTGGACGCCATTCTTGCGGACAATCCATCGCAAGATCTCAATCATTGACATCTTTTTCGCCTCTTCGGTGCCATACTATCCATTAAATTGAATATAAGTTTGAAAACTTCAACAAATATCAAATTCAATACATAATTATTAAATGGATTTACAAACACTCATTCAAATCAAATACAAGATTTATTATACATCTGAAACATCTATCCATTGAGTGATTGGTTATTAAAACTAATCCAAAACCTATTAAAACTAATTGAATGGTCAGAAACTCACTCGTTGTTTGGATTGAACCACTTGTAAGGGATACGTGACAACAGTACTGATACTCTTGGAAATGGCGCCCAACATGAAGACAATCATTCCGTTCAGTTCATTGGTTTTGAGCAGTTGTTGCGCTTCGCGTTTCAACAGCTCGTAGATCATGAACTGAAGGGCCGGATTGGACACCAATACCAGCGATGGCAGAACACTGCTCCAGAGGGTCAACAGGCCTTCGGTCTGCGAGATCTTGCAGATGGCGTCCAACACTCCGTCATAATGAGGGTATTTACGTAACTTTCGGTCCGCTTCGAACACTCGCGTGCCTTGCATTTTGATCCTCATGTTTATCACCCATAGAGGGGTTGTCATCAACACATTCACCGCACCTTTAAATACATAGCAAATGGTATCAAATGTAATAAAACATACATTGTTTAAAAACCACTTGTTTTTCAATGATAATGAGTACTAACCGGCGATCGCACCCAACGTCAGGTCCTTCAGAGCCGAGTGTCCTTTCGATGGATTGGAGCCGAAGACGGCTCGCAAGCCGTGAAACGTATAGAAATAGACGAAACCGGAAGCGCATAGACTGACCAAAACGGGTCGTAAACCACGATATAAGGACTCACTATATATACAAGTAATCACATTATAAGTGCCCTAAAGGTTACAATTATGCGGACATACAGTCCCTCTTCGGCGACCAACTCCTTCAACATAGTTATCGTGTCCTTTGATTTGCGGTTCTCTTCCAACTGAAGTCGCGATCGGATTGTGTCCAACGGGAAGAACACAGACATTGCCGTCATTCCGCCCTATAGTGGATGCCATCAAACATATGCCTTGAGATATCAATTCAGTGGTGCCGTCAAACAGAGTGACTGTCACTTACAACTGATCCGGAGATGGCGTGAACCAGTGAGTCATACGTGAAGAGGTGATCCCATTGGTTGGCTCCCGAGTTAGCCATTGTTTTGGGTGCTATGGATGGCTGCTTACTATGGGATGACAATTGGTTTTGTACATCAGTTGGTCATTCTTCGGGAGAGACCAACAAAGTTGTGACCACAAGATTCAAAACTGATTGTCTGTTTTGGTTGTTGTTTATAATGTAAACACTGTTCGCAAACAACAGTACGAATTATAGGCGGGTTATTGCCCTCTAATGTATTGATTAACTCTGCACTTAATCTTATCTCTCGATTAACTGATTAATGGTATAAAAGTGGTCACATTGTAGGTCATCGGCGATGATAATGACTACTGGCACCAGTTTATACATCTATAGTGTTGCCCCCCTATCTCTGTACAGTACATATTATACCTGTGCCACCACTTTATACTTTGTAAGACCCATATGGTTGATAAAATAACCATGGGGTTTAATTAAAGTTGATTACAATCTTATTTAGGATTAATGATTTTTTTCTCAGATTTGCTTAATTATAATATTTACGGCACACGTAGTCATCAATACATTGTTAACAATTT